GAGAGAGAGAGAGAGAGAGAGAGAGAGAGAGAGAGAGAGAGAGAGTACTTCAACGCAAAGATTGGAAGGCAATGGTGGGTAGTGCCACAACGACCGTGGTAGTCGAACGAAGGCTGTTGCCCAAGCGGTATCCAAATGAGTTGGCTGATGTTGATCACAAACTCGCTCATTACGCTATCAATTTAATACAATGGCAACCTCTCTGCCTAGCAATTATGGACGTGCAAAAAGTGAAGACAATCCTGCAAGATGTGAGACAAGAGTTCGGACTCGAAACAAATAATGCACAACGGCACCTCCACCCAAAAAAAAAAAGAAGAAAAAAAAGAGACAATCCTGCAAGATGTGAGACGAGAGAGTTCGAACTCAAAACAAATAATGCACAATGGTCCCATACGTGTGTGCCTCTTAGGAGATCCTCCTCCTCCTCCTCCTCCCCCTCCTCCTCGCTCATCCTCATCTTCATACTCCCCCACTGTGCCATTGACTACAAACCTATATGCTATACGTTTGGCTTTGGCTCTGGTCCTGATCATGATATTGGTCCATCTTCATAAAAAAGAGGTCAAAAGGGAAGCTCGCTGGTTTGCTGATCGGCAAGCATAAACCTGATTATAGTGTTGTATGCAAAGATTGGTTGTGAATCTTCCACGAGGATGATTGCAATGACATCAACCACAACAGCGGTGGAATGGGGCAGACTGCAGTCCTCCGGGGATGCGTGGGTGCCCAAAGGGCGAGCTGGGTTCCCGAAGGGAACAGAAAGGTATGTTTATCATAGACCCCTACGATGGGCACTTTTCTACCACCACTCCATGGTGACTGCACCCGCTCTTCCACTCACCTGTCAGTACATGATGTTGCTTGCTTGCACCCTTCTCAGGCCAACAAGGACATTATTCACAACACAGGCCATGGCCCCTTTCAACCATCTGCCACTGGACAACGAAACAAAAATGTTACTGATACATCACTTACCATCCTAACACACCTTTAAATGCTTACAAAACGCAGTGATGGGAGTTATCCTATTGCCCATGACGACAACTCACGTGCCAACTCAAATACAAAACACAGAGGAACGGGTGTGACAAGAAGTGACAACCGGCATTCAGTCTGAGAGTGAAGGCACGCTGCCGGGCAGGCCGTATGTACCACATCGAATTTTGTGAGTAGTCCCACTTATTTGCATTTTCCAAAGCAAGGCATATGGAAACGACCCAAATTGCTACGGATGCTGGCCGAGCAACAAAGCCACTAGAGACTAAACCAGGTTGGACCAACTGCAGCACCTAGGAAGTCCATGTCTTCTGCCTCTCCCCAATACTTGGCATCAGCGGACTTGTCATGTCTGGCACCTCGCACACTCATAAAAGGTTTCAGATGAGAGCGACTCAGAGGTGTTCCGCGTGCTCAAATTTTAGGTGTATGCTATCCAGCAGGCGCAGAGCAGCTCCTCACCTCGATCCAACGAGTAGAATGGAGAGATCTGGATGTAGCTCAGAAGGACAACGGATTGAGCGTGAGGTGAGCTTTTGAAGTCGACACTGCATAGAGAGCTAAGACATCACTTGAGCAGTGACAGGCCGAGGGGTGGTGGACCACGTCTGTGCGGTGTCTTCATGTGCATTGTTGTATTCACTGTGAGTAACGGCTGATACAACTTTGCCCTATCTGATGTTTGTACCCTTCTTTCTTTTGTTCCGATTGCAACTGTTGCAGGGTCAACCCTTCTTTATTTTGTCTCCGCTTGCTACTGTTGCAGGACCCATGTGAAGTCCGTGTCCTCTGCCTTCTTTCCTCGTCGGTGACTGCACCCCTTGCAGAACCCAACTGTCTTTTGATGCCAAGTCAGTGCCCTCCTCCTGCTTTCATCTGTTGTGATGGTGGTCCCCCTTGGAGAACCCAACTTTTTTCTAATGAATGCCAAGCCCATTTCCTCTGATTGTGGCAACGGTCCTCTGATGCTTTTAGTCCATGTCCTCTAGTCCTTGGGGAACCCAGCTGTTTTCTGATGCTAAGTCCATTTTCTCTGCCCTCTTTCCTTGTTTGTGATTGTGGCCTTTGCAGGACCCAACGGTCGTCTGATGCTTAGTCCATGTCGTCTGCTCCGTGCAGAACCCAGCTGTTTTCTAATGAAGCCCTTGCCGGATCCAACGGTCATCTGATGCCTAGTCCATGTTCTCTGGTCCTCGGAGAAGCCAACTGCTTTCTGGTGCTGAGTCTATTTCCTCTCCTTTCGTTCCTTGTTTGTGATTGTGGCCCTCGCAGGATGCAACAGCATCCGATGCTGAGTCCATGTCCTCTGCCTCTTCCAAATTTTCAGGGCCTAAGATGACTTGTCATGTGTGGCACAACCTTCTCTTTCTATGCTGGTGATTGCAGCCTTTGCACGACCCAACTGCCTTCTGATGCTGTTGCTAAGTCCATTTCCTCTGCCTCTCTTCCTTCTTTGTGATTGTGGCCCTGGCGGGATCCAACGGTCATCCGATACTTAATCCATGTCCTCTGCCACTCTTCCATTTCTTTAGGGCCTAAGCTGACTTGTCTTGCGTGGCAAAAACCTTCCTCTTTGTAACCTGGTGGTTGCAGACATTGCAAGACCCAACTATCCTTTGATCCTGACCGGATACCAAGTCAACAACAGATAGAATTAGGGCATATTCACACTGGCACGTTTGTAAATGTATGTGTCCGCAATCAAGTCAAGAGCTTAGTAGAGAAAGCCCTGGTGTGAATGTGTCCTTAGATCTGCTGAATATGTTGCTGGACAACTTGCAGCACTTCTGCCGTTTACCTTGGAACACACAAGTCCACGTCTTCTTCCATTGTTTTACATGGCTGGCTGGCTGGCCTTAAACCACCAGTTTGAACGAACCTAAGTTGACAAATCCAAGGCTCGCAATCTGCAACAGCACCTTTTCAAAGTGGCCTGCCGTTTTTGCTTCCGGCCCAGGTCCGAAGCGGAACAGTCTTACCACATATACCGGCAAAGCCACGACTTTGGCTCGAGTGAACTGGTGGTTTAATCAACTTCGCATGTCTGGCAGAACCCTTGCCTACTATGCTCATGCCTACGGCCTTCAAGGGTGAAGCTTCAGATATAAGCCACCACATTTGCCACCTATTTATGGCCCCTCCTCATGCATGCGTCCTTTGCAGTCCCCCCTCTCAACGGGCTACATCAGTCTGAAACGCCTGCCTTGTTTTATCTCCACCCAGTTCCCCCTCTCAACAGGCCATGCCAGTCGAAACTTGAATGCCTGTCTTAGAGCAGAAGCTCAACCGATTCTGCCATCACATCATCAGCCTTGGCCGTTCTACAACGGCAGTCGTTCGCATGCCAGCTCCTCAAACCTCCGCAGCAATGCAAGGGCTGCAAGTGCTTTGGCAGAGAAGGCACTCAGGGCTGAGGAGCAGTTCCGAGCACACCCTCTCTGCCCCAGACTTCGTAACTCAATTGCTCAGACTTCAGCCCCCTAATGTTTTGTGGCCTTCCAAGTCTGCCTTGGCCGTTCCCACAACACTGCAAGGGCTGCAAGTGCTTTGGCAGAGAAGGCACTCGGGGCTGAGGAGCCAAACTCAGCAGTCCCTACAACACCCTCTCTGGCCCAGACTTCGTAACTCAATCTGCTCAGAATTCAGCCCCCTAATGTTTTGTGGCCTTGCAAGTCTTCACTTCATGCTTCGTCCTCATGCACCTGAGCACCAGCACCATCACCATCACCATCACCATCACCACCACCAGATCCAAGTGGTACCATCATATGACAGTCCCATCCTCTCATTCTTAAGTTTGCCATCCATCTCACCATCTGCAATTTGTACACAACCGTCATAGTCACAACCACATTTTTTCCAAATCCAAAAACATCATACAAGGCGTCCTCGGACTTTGCTCTCACAGCATTAGGAACACCTCACTTGCCGGCAAAACACTGCAACACTTCCTTCCGACCAGCTGTCCTACTGCTCACCCTTCCGTCGTAAGTGCCTCAAAAAAGCGTCAGCCTCCTCTTGTAAGGCAGAACTCTCACCACCACCATTAGCAACAGATCAAGCCACAAGGAGACTGAGCAGCCCAACCGTCTGATAGCATGATGATGCCAACCTGCCTTTTCAAGATCGTCATCCATTGCAATAGTAAACTGCCATCATAATTACAACCACACTGATCCCTGTGACTGGACAGCACACGTTCTCCCCCGAACGATCCCTGGTGTGATCAGTCGTCCGCTCGGATTGGGATAGGTCATGTACGGCTGACTGGTTCCATCCAGTCCCTACTAGTGTTCCCTAACCCCCCCCCCCCCCCCCCTCCCCTCCCCTCCCGGCTTGCTACCCGTTCCCCCCCTATCCCTCCCCATGACTGGACAGCACACCACCTCCCCCAAATGAAGGTTGCATCACTTGCACTACACGGGTGCTGACAATCACCAACTTGGATTGAGATAGGTCATGTACGAGTGACTGCTTTGATCCGGACCCTGAAATATTTCCCTCCCCCCTCCGCCCCGGCTACCCCTCCTCTCCCACCCCACCCCCAGGGCTCTCAGCACAATAAACGAACTCCTCCGAGGCCCTCAAGTGAGTTCCAGCGTCTTCCCGTCAAAAGAACATTTACTGAACTTTTCCTGAAATGCATTTAATCTTACACAGAATCTGTCATTCCCAAATAAATCTGGGCCCTTCATCTGGCCAATCATGTTTAAATTTTAAAAACAATTCCTCCCTCCTCTGAGGGAAAGCATGGAAGACACTCAGAAAAGACAGAAATGAAAACCAGCTGTCGTCACATTGACTGCAAAACTGCTTCTGTGCCAGTCCACAGCCAATCTGGCCGCCCATGCAC